CAAAAATTTTCTTTTTTTATTATCTTTCGAATGAGGTATCACAAAGGGGGGGTTGCTATTTGAAAAAAAAAGTTAGCCCCCGCCCCCCTTAAGGGGGGCCGCCCCCCAAAATTTTGGGGGGACCAAAAAGTTGCTACTTTAGACCGAGGAACATTTCCAAAGTTTCAAACTTCTATCTCAATTTGGAAAAAAGTTACTGGGGTGGTCAGTGACTTTTGGATACCCCTGTATACTTTCCTATCCTTTCTTCCTTTTTATATCCTATTTCTATCCTATCCTTTTTATACTTTTTTTAGTGTCAGTTTGGCGTAGGTAAGTTGGATGTTACTTTTGCTGTAAATACAGGGTGCGACAAAAGTCCCGGGACGGCTGTTTATTTTTTAAACGGCTTCACGTAGAAAAACGAATTTTGGAGGATGTTCTTGGGTCAAAGTAAGCTACTTTTTGGCACTCCCCAAAATTTGTTTGGGGGCCCCCCTAGGGGAGGGCGGGGGCAACTTTTTTTTTTCAAATAGCAACCCCCCCTTTGTGATACCTCATTCGAAAGATAATAAAAAAAGAAAATTTTTGAAGCAAACCGCAGGTCAAAATGTTCATTTTTGACAAAATGGCGGCCGGTCAAAGTTCAAAATGGCGGACATTTGGCATCTCCGTTGTTTATTGACGGATTGGTGTGAAACTCGGAATCCTAGGGTTTTTCGAGATGAGAAAAACGATTCTGGCATTTGTTTTCCAGAAAAGTCAGTCCTTTTCAAAATGGCGGCGGTCAAAATGGCGGCCTCGAGCGGGAAGCGGATATTTAGGTTGCATATCGTTGGATTTGCATGAAACTTGGTATCTGGGGTTATTTCGGCACGAGAAGAACGAATCTTTCATTGGATACCTGAAATCTTGACAAATTCCTGAATGGCGGCGGAAAAATGACGGGAAATCAGTTTTACGGCTCTTTTACCGATGGATTAGCATGAAATTATTTGATATTTCAAGAATCTAATGAAAGATTCTTTTATAACGAGCCAAAAACCGCCAGGAATTCAAATTTCATGCAAATCCGTCGGTAAACAGCCGTAAAACTGATTTCCCGCCATTTTTCCGCCGCCATTCAGGAATTTGTCAAAATTTCAGGTATCCAATGAAAGATTCGTTCTTCTCGTGCCGAAATACCCCCAGATACCAAGTTTCATGCAAATCCAACGATATGCAACCTAAATATCCGCTTCCCGCTCGAGGCCGCCATTTGGACCGCCGCCATTTTGAAAAGGACTGACTTTTCTGGAAAACCAATGCCAGAATCGTTTTTCTCATCTCGAAAAACCCGATGATTCTAACAAGGGGAGCTTCCCAAGTGTAACCGGAATTTCGAGTTGAAATTTCGCATGAAGATACTAGAGATGATTTTAGGGATGCCGTATTTTTTCGTTTTTTCGAATGGGGTCGGGAAAGCCCTCAAAAAAAGGGCTAAAGATGCGGAAAAAACGCGTGCGCTAGCGGCACAAGGTAAACGTAGGTGATAGAGGCTCTGTATCCTTATCAGTACCGCGTGGCCAAACGGTAGCGCGCTCGCCTCGCAGGCGGGAGATCCAAGGATCGGATCCTGATTACAGCTCGTAATTTTATTCTACTTCATGCTTGTTTCTTTTTGTCAAGCAGAATTTCCGGAGTATCAGTCAGATACAGATACAGATTCGACTGATACTCCGGAAATTCAGCTTGGCAACGAAATTTGGTGGGTTTTAGAGTGTTTTGTTTATTCAATTACATATAACGTTTCAATCCAAAAGAAACTTCGAGTTTTTATCAGCATATGTAAAAAATCTTCAGTCACTACGTGTTCTACCTCGTAAGTCGGTTTGCGGAGCGAATGGTGCAAAATAAAGTAAGTGAAAAAGAAACAAGCATAAAGTAGAATAAAATTACGAGCTGTAATCAGGATCCGATCCTAGGACCTCCCGCCTGCGAGGCGAGCGCGCTACTGTTTGGCCACGCGGTACTGATGAGGATGTAGAGCCTCTATCACCTACGTTTACCCTGTGCCGCTAGCGCACGCGTTTTTTCCGCATCTTTAGCCCTTTTTTGAGGGCTTTCCCGACCCCATTCGAAAAAACGAAAAAATACGGCATCCCTAAAATCATCTCTGGTATCTTCATGCGAAATTTCAACTCGAAATTCCGGTTACACTTGGGAAGCTCCCCTTGTAAGTTTCACACCAATCCGTCAATAAACAACGGAGATGCCAAATTTCTGCCGTTTTGAACTTTGACCGGCCGCCATTTTGTCAAAAATGAACATTTTGACCTGCGGTTTGCGCCAAAAATTTTCTTTTTTTATTATCTTTCGAATGAGGTATCACAAAGGGGGGGGGGTTGCTATTAGAAAAAAAAAGTTTCCCCCCGCCCTCCCCTAGGGGGGCCCCCAAACAAATTTTGGGGAGTGCCAAAAAGTAGCTTACTTTGACCCAAGAACATCCCCCAAAATTCGTTTTTCTACGTGTAGCCGTTTAAAAAATAAACAGCCGTCCCGGGACTTTTGCCGCACCCTGTATTATATTCTAATACCTATAGGTATGTCTGTTATTCACTAATTGTATACATTCTTTTTCTTTGCAGACATTGAGAGGTGTTCAGAACAATGCTATTATTTTGAAAGCTTTAGATATCGTAACAATTGTAATCCCTCCTGCATTGCCAGCTGCAATGACTGTTGGGAAAATATACGCTTTGAGTCGTTTGAAGAAAGGGCATATTTCCTGTATCAATTCAAGAGTCATCAATGTTACCGGCTCAATTGACTGTGTATGCTTTGATAAGGTCTGTATTTCCACCAGGAAACTATACTAACCAATAAATGCAATTTTAACTGCGTGCGTACTTGGTATTTAAGTAATATTAGAGATATGTAAAGAAAAATTTAGAAACAAAACGGAACGTCCAGAAGCTGGACATTTAGTTCTGTTTCTTGACTCCAGATTCATGATTTGAAATAAATAGTTAACTATATCCACCAATGCATTTTTTACCAAAGTTTTGGGTTGGTCGTCAGAACTTCATGGAAAGAATGTATACGTAGAGAATCCCAGGTGAATTCGTAGATACTATACAGTGACTTTTATGCTTTAAAAAAAGAAAGAAAGAAAAAAAAGAAGAAGCCTTTGCTCAAAAATATTTGGTCAAAACTTCAAGCCATAATTTTCATTAGAGTCCCTTTATACCCAGAGTTAAGACAACTCACTTTTGGTTGGGCTGAGAGTGGCCTAAAAAAAAATCCAATTCTGATTGGTTCTCGCTCATGGAGGCCGAAACGAGTGCACCAAGATGGCGGTACCTCGTATGTGAACAAGAATAATGAAAATATTACCTAATTGTGGTTTATCAAGAGTAAATTGTTATTGCCATCGGTCCAAAATGAAAATAGATTAAGAAATTATTTACAAACCAATCTCATTTTCTTTCTAATTGATCAATTTGTTGATGTTGTTGTTTCTGTGTGACAGACATCGCAGGATTCCTGATCCTTATCCCCCAATATCGTTCGTTTGGGTGCACTCGTTTCGGCCTCCATGGCCAGCCAAGGCCGGCTGTCAGTCAGCTGATAATCGAGTTGTCGTAACTCTGGGTATAAAGGGACTCCAATTTTCATTAGCTTTGTTTATGCTAGAGTCCCTTTATACCCAGAGTTAAGACAACTCACTTTTGGTTGGCCTGAAAGTGGCCTAAAAAAAAATCCAATTCTGATTGGTTCTCGCTCATGGAGGCTAGAGTCCCTTTATGCTGAGAGTCAAGACAATTCGGCTCATGGATGTCACAAACGGGAATAAAGATTACAGAAATTGAACGTTTTTCGTAATCTTTGATCGGCCCATTCTCAAATGCCTTTCTCCGTTCCTCCTCTCATTCCGTTTGTTCCTTGCCGAACCCGTAATTCCCTGGTCCATTCCAGATTATAATCTTTGCAATTGGTGAAAATGTAATCTTTATTCCCGTTTGTGACACTGTGGAGGCCTAAAATACGGGAACCAATCAGAAATGGATTCAAATTGTCTTGACTCTCAGTATAAAGGGACTCTAATGGATGCCGAAACGAGTGCACCAAGATGGCGGTACCTCGAATGTGAACAAGAATAATGAAAACATTATCTAATTGTGGTTTATCAAGAGTAAATTGTTATTTCCATCGGTCCAAAATGAAAATAGATTAAGAAATTATTCACAAACCAATCTCATTTTCTTTTTAATTGATCAATTTGTTGATGTTGTTGTTTTTGTGTGACAGACATCGCAGGATTCCTGATCCTTATCCCTCAATATCGTTCGTTTGGGTGCACTCGTTTCGGCCTCCATGGCCAGCCAAGGCCGGCTGCGAGCAAAGACATAAAGACGGAGCACTAAAAGCAAAAAATGAAGCTTCTAGAGCTTCTTTTCAATCACCTCTACTATTGGCTAGAGGATTGGCGGCGAAATCGGGACAAGTTTGAATTCAAATGTAGGGCGGGAACTAATAAATAAAATTGCGGAAACAAAGTATTTTAGGTTGATTTTTGCCCAAATTCAGGTACACACTCAGATTTTTTTAACTTTAGGTTAGTTTCAGTCCGTCGTCGACCGATTAATTTCATTTGGGAGTAACGTTGATCTAGAACTGTAACGGCCTGTTTGAACCTGCAGAACCACCATGAGCAGAAGAAAAACTAACTTTATGTGAGATTACTGCCTGTTACCGAGCAAAAGTAGGTGTATTATATTAGGACGCAGACCGAACTTTCTTAGTATATTCGTTTTAGGAATTTAAAATACGTTTCAAAGAAGAAATGTGCAAAAATCAAGAGGACAAGTTCAAATCAAATTTCCGTTTGCCGCCATGGATTCCCGCGTTCATTTACACACTCACACAAGCGCGCAGCGCCGAACCTAGCTTCACTTTTTCCCCGTGCTTTTAGATACGAGCGCTCCGTCTTTATGTCTTTGGCTGCGAGTCAGCTGATAATCGAGTTGTCTTAACTCTGGGTATAAAGGGACTCTAGTTTATGCGAGCCTCATAACCTAATTTCAATCGAAAGTCGAATCCTGAGTTTGAAACCAAGGTTCAAATCACGGCATCAAAGACATAAAGACGGAGGGCTAAAAGCAAAAAATGAAGCTTCTTTTCAACCACCTCTACAATTGGCTAGAGGATTGGCGGCGAAATCGGGACAAGTTTGAATTCAAATATAGGGCGGGAACTGAATAAAATAATTGCGGAAACAAAGTATTCTAGGTTGATTTTTGCCCAAATTCACTTACCCACTCATATTTCTTTAACTTTATGTTAGCTTTGGTCCGTCGTCGACCAATTAATTTCATTTAGGAGTGACGGTCATCTAGAACTGTAACGACCTGTTTGAACCTGCAGAACCACCATGAGTAGAAGAAAAACTAACTTTATCTGAGATTACTGCCTATTACCAAGCAAGAGTAGGTGTAATATAATAGGACGCAGTCCCAACTTTCTTAATATATTCGTTTTAGGCATTTAAAATACGTTTCGAAGAAGAAATATGGAAAA